TTTATGTTATAACAATAAATTAATAAAAATAATATATAAGTTATATGTTATGTATATATATAAAATTAATTTTTGTTTTAGGGTCATTAATATTGTCAAGATTCTATTCAACTGTTTGCAGTTTGTGTTCCGATAGTAGTTAAAATGTATGAATAATATTATATCTTAAAATACACCAAGTTGTGTGTGTGTAATCAACAATCTATTAGGCATAAGATTTTCGAGAATGCACTGCGAAACAGTGCACACCTTTGTAATTTATTTGAAAATCTTGCGTTAAGATTTCCTATATTTAAGGTAAAAAGATATGAATGACCTACATATTAAATAAAATTAAAYTCTTATTCCTACGGAAAGAATACTATATCTAGTAATAAATCCATCTTCAAAGGTTCACAAAATATCCAAAAACAGTAATGTCGTTTCTTATTTAAGTAACTTTCCAATCGGACATACTTCACGCAGGACCAGAAAGAAATTTATTTTAATAAGTAGTTTGCGAAAAAAATTTTAAAACTTATAGCCGTTCAATCCTAATGATTTTTATATTAAATTAGGGTACACACTTCGCCTAACACGAACAATACCTTTTCAAGCTGAAAGTCTCGCGTTTTAAATATTTAAAATCCCAGAAAATGAAATGCAGCAAATACATATATTTTACATATAGCTGTCATATCTTTGGAACGTTCTCGTCAATATATTATACTTAGAGTGAACTAATTTTAAGAAACATTATACTAAATAATAGTACACTCTTTGCCCTACACGTACAATACTTTTTTCGGCTAGTAGTCTTGCGTTTTAAATACTTAAAATCCCATAAAATGAAATGCTGCAAAGGATATATCTTTCACACATTGCTCTCATATTTTTGGAACGTTCTCGTCAATATTTTTTATACTTACAGTGGTCGAATTTTAATAAAATTTATTTTAAATTAAAGTACACTCTTCGCCCTACACGAACAATACTTTTTTGGGCTAGTATTCTCGCGTTTTAAATACTTAAAATCCCATAAAATGAAATGCTGCAAAGTACATATATTTTACACATAGCTTTCATATCTTTAAAACGTTCTCGTCAATATTTTTTATAGTCAGAGTAAACAAATTTTAAAAAACTTTCTTTTAAATTAAAGTACACACTTTGCCCCAAACGTACAATACTTTTTCTGGCTAGGAGTCTCGCGTTTTAAATACTTAAAATCCCATAAATTGAAATGCTTCAAAGGATATATCTTTCACACATAGCTTTCATATCTTTGGAACGTTATCGTCAATATTTTTTATACTTACAGTTGTCAAATTTTAATAAAATTTATTTTAGACTATAGTACAAACTTTGCCCTACACTTAGAATACTTTAGCAAGTAAAAAGTCTCACGTTTATATTTTTTATATTAAAAGTGAATAGATTTTAATGAAACTTATATAAATTTAAAGTACACTCTTTTTTCTACGCGCAGAATACTTTGTCGAGCTATAAATTTAGCATGTGAAGTTTAGGAGATGTCAGATAATGGAATGCATTTTATTTTACAGCTTTGCTTTTTCTTTGCAAAGTTTCGGTAAATATTTTGTATACTAAGAGTGAGCGGATTTTAGTGACTCTTATATTAAGTTAAAGTACATTTTTACTAAATTTTGTTTTTATGAGTTTCGAACGTGGCGCATGTGTATAAAGGGAGTAATGCACCTAAATATTAAAATTTAAGATTAAAAAACGTGTTTAGAAAAATATATTTTCTTTATCTGAAACACGCACGCACAACACACAGACGAGAATTTAGCATATCGAAAGAAGAGGGTTTAAAAGGAAGCTATTTCTGTCGCATTTTCTGGATTTCTAGGAAAGAGATAAGGAAAAATAGTAGACGAGCAAATGTATCGGCGTCAAACCGTTACTTTGTTCAACCGTTACTTCGTAATAATCCGCCTACCAGTGTTTTTGTTCCAACACATTCTTTCTGTTTAAAGTATTACTGCAATTTCGCACGAATTCGAAGATAAAATACTAAAATCAAAACGTTATTATCTTTAATTTTAGTAATTAGGTTCCTTATACACATGCGTAACATTCAGAGAAAGTCATATAAATTGTAGTAGATTCGATCGAAAATAAAATCTAACTTAATATTAGTTACCTGATATAAAATTTCCAATCATTTCTCGAAGAAAATTAAGAATATGAAAATTAATCGGTATACTAAATTCAATTTTTTGTATTGTTTATTAAGTAATTAATTTGTTATCAATTTGTCTTCTTGTTAATTATTCATATTATATTGAATTATTAACTATATATATATCGCTCAGTTGGTATACCTGTAGGGGATATATTTAAAAGAAAAGTTATAATTTACAAAATATTTACTTATTGTTTATACATTATGAACGATTAACCTATTTCTTTTCACTATCCTATAGGTTGTTACTTTAAAAATCAACTTTAGGTATATAACTTTACTTTCATTTTTTTCAAAGTACTCCTGCGCCTTGAATTTGTGGTTGCGCATGCGTATAGCATATCTCCCACTTATGACGACGTCATTTCATAATTATTCAAGGTGTCATAATTATTTTCTACTAATTAACGATAAATAAAAAATATTTGACAAAATAAAATTGAGGAGCCGGACAGACAAAAAGTCAGGAATTGATTGAAAACAAAAAACAATAGAAAACTCCATTGCATTGCTTAGAAATGAGAGAAAACAATTTTGTTTTGTTCCTTGCCAGCGTTTCCACGATGATAATATATAATTTCTTAATAAAAATTAAAAAATCATATATATTCACCTATATATAGGATATTATACTTTGATGATTATTGAAGTAATCATTTCTTCTATAATACTTATTTGTATGTGAAGAAATTGTTGTCTTATCGCACTATTCTTAATAGTCTATAGAATACTTCAAACATCTACATTTTTTTAATTCATTACTGATAGTTAAATAACTTTTACTATTCTTTAAAGGAATATTCCTTTAATCAATTTTTTTGTCGAAATTACACGGTAAACCTATTAAGGAACATAAATCATTAATTTGTTTCACTATATCATAGAAAGTTAAAAAAATGACAGTGTATTCTTTAAGGTATATTTTTGAAAAGTTACTACAGATGTTTTAGCATTTCTTTTCTATCAACGTACCTTTAATATAATTATTGATCGTTATTAGAAATGATTACGAAAGTAGAGAAGCTACAAAAGAAATAGAAGAAAAAAGATTTTAGAGGAACGTAGGTAAGAAAAAGGATAAAAAGTGAGGATGCATAACGCGTTGATGCTCTCTTCAAAAGGCGCACGCGCACGTGCATTCACGCATTATGAAGTAATGATGCAGTGGATGGGAGTGCGAGAGTGAGAGAGTGAAGAGAGGTTGAGCGCGTGACAGAACACGTGACAGAACACGTGACCAGGAGCACACGGAGCTCGCGTGACTGGCCTCGTGACGTCAAACGCACGTGTCGCATAGCGTGGCAACTGCCTTGCTCCACCCTCCTCGCTTCGTTCTTACTTACTCACTCTCTCTCTCTCTCTCTCTCTCTCTCTCTCTCTCTCTCTCTCTCTCTCTCTCTCTCTCTCAACATACTGCACTCTGACGTGGCTCGCCTTGTAAGTGGTCAGTAGCGTCTCAAGTTCTCGCTTTACCCTCCTTCGCCAACGCAACTTATAGTCTTTTGACAAAGGCTTACACCTAGAAAGTCATCATTTCTTCAACCATTTTTTCAACCATTTTTTCAACCATTTTTTCTTTCCCAACTCTTCTTCTACTCTCTAATTCCCTCGTACGTAAGATCTAATCATCGTTATGCGACAATGCCTATGATTTATTTAACACTGGGTGGACTAATTGTAAGAAGACTGAAAAGAAATTCTAGTACTTGTATCTTATTCCTTTTAGAATACATGTCGATTACATGTCGATTATTTTCCAACGATTATAGGAACAAGAGAATTTGTCAGCAATATATTTGCATAGTATGTATTTATGGTAATATATATGTACGTACAAACATATAGAAGAAAGATATAAGAATACATGAAAATACACTTTGATTTTCTTCTTACATTTGAAATGTTATAAATGCGATATGACGAATGTGTTACGAGTTTGCGCGTCGTTAAATTCATTTCGGAAACGTTCATTGCTCTATATAATTTTATCAAGCCAAGAGAACAACACGGTAGATTATTGTGACTACACGTCGTTGCTTTGTTAACGCCTTGAAATATTCATCTATTGTTAGTAATAAGTTTTAAAGTTGTTTTCACGAGAGAGATTTTTCTCGTAGGAAGAACAAAAATACTATTAAATTTACGCATGCGCGCGCGTATGTGTGTGTATGTGTACGAAAAGACTGGATTAATTAAATGAATAAATATTGAAAAATAACAATTAAGAGCGATTAGAAATCTCCTTATGAAACGACACAAGATTGCTAGAAGAGAAGAAAATAATATGATAGGTAGTAATAAGGTAGTAGGGCACCAAGTTAGATACATTCGCTCTCTTCCACTTAACAAGAGATTGGAGTAGACGAGCTAGCAAGCGAGGAAACGAGCTAGCAAGCGAGGAAACGAGCTGTTTGCAGGGACGCCATGCGTTACAAGCGAAAGGCGCTTCATCGAATTAACGATACAGGTTTCTCAGCGTTATTTATTCTTTCCCAAACTTGAAATTGTGTATACGACTAAGGATTGTTCGCGATTTAAAGAGTGTACGTAATTGATAAATATTTAGCAAGTTGTTTTATTTGTAAAAAAAGAGGAAACGAAACTGGCAACACGGCCCTGAAATATCCCCTCTCTCTCACTCGATTTTCTCATTCTCTCTATCTCAGTGACTCTGTGTAAGAGAGGAACATATCGCGTGGAATTTCTCGGTCGAACGAGTCAACGGCCTTATCGATGTGTATACACTCGGTGAGTCGCAACGGTTACTGTCACGGCAGAGAACTCTAACGTTTTTGCAGTTATTCAATTTTCCATCCCACACACAAACGATGTTTTAAAGTGTCTCGATCTTTCTGAACGCGCGGTTGTGATATCTCTGTTGCGCGCGCACTAGTTAACGAAACACGGAGAGAGAAAGGGCGCCAGTACAAACTTTGCCGGGAAACTGGATGTGGAAAGTCGAAGAAACGTGGCCGATCCACGGGTTGCACTGAATGTGCCAGTGATTTTCCGGAGGCGAATCTAACATAATCGCTTTACAAGTGCGTGCGATCGATCAAGAAGACCCTTCCAACTATTTTCGTGCATGCGCGTGCCTTTTTTTTTATCCCTTTCCTTCGTCCTAGTCGTGCTAATCGAGCAATCGTAGTTTCCTTGCAGAAATACCACCAACATTTTTCAATTTTCAAGAAGAGAGCGGAGGAGCTTCGTCTTTGTCACGTTCTTCAACTTTTTCAAGTATCAAAGCAAAAGGCTTTGAAAAGGATCACCCAATTCGGTTGATTCCAACGAGTTTGAAAGAGCGTTTTCGCTAACTTTTGAAAGACACTCTGACGTAACTTCGTTCTATGCTTCAAGATGATGGAGACGCAGAATTATTGGAAAGACAACTCCACTCATACTATGCAAGTCAAATACGAGAGGTAAGACATAGAATGCTCTTTGAAACGCTAGTACTATAAACAGAAAGTAATAAGTATAAGCTTAAGGGGCTGTTGATTTTCAGTCGATCAGTCATATAGCAAAGCGCGTGATTTCGAGTCAACAGATAAGACATTAGTCGTTTCACAATGTAAAAAGAATCGAAGAACGTTCATTGCCTTGACAAAGCAACGTGCACCAACGTTTCATCTCGTTGCATCAAAAAACATTACTTTTTTCTTTTCTTATTTATTTTCTTCTTACAATGAATGAAAGTTAAATCATCGCTTCACAAAATAGCATTTTTCGTATGAAAAATATTTCTACGATCTACTATCATAATTTGAAATAATTCAATCCTTCTTTTAACTCGTCATTTAATTATGTAACGAGCAGCGGTAAATGTCAAATATGTGTGTCAGTTAAAGTTTTGCGTAGAGATACATACATATGTATAATATATAAATAAGTATGGAATAGAATTTGATAGTGTGTGCACAAGTCGTTTATGAGGGCATGAATCAGACAGAAAGATAGGGAAAAATTCCATTCATGGAAAATTGAAAGAGAATAATGTTCATAGTCGTATGTATGGTAGGTCAACGATATCTGTTTTTCTCGTGATCAAAATGCTTCTGAAAATAATCAAGTGTGAGCAAGTAAGACGGCCGTTATCGCGGAAAATACTCAGGTGGTTCGATTTAGACTTTCTTACATCGCCCCTTGTGCTGATAATCAAATACTTTCGCAGATATCGCTATTTTATTTGTCTTTTCGAAAGTATCCACCGCAAAAAATTCATGGCCGTGTTATTAGTGTGCTGTAGATAAGATAAATAATCGCATGAAGATCTCTTTTATTCTTTCTCATGTTGATCGAGCGCCACAACGTCACGTAGTACGCGTATTTTTTGGCTCGGTCGCTCGCTCGACCAAATTAGATATTCGAACGTATAAGCAAACGTTCAAGCGTTTCTTAAAACGCTGATCGCTCGACGTCGATGACTTTTCTAATTTGCTATTTTTTCATTTTTCCATTTTTCCACTTTTTTAGTTCGTCCGTACGCCGTTGGATAATGAAACGCATTTCTATAGATCTATATTTATTCCATATTATTACTCTTTGCTTTTTTAACCCTAAAACTACAAACTAGGGTAGATATCTACCCCTGGTTTTTCGAAGTTAAATGAAGATTTGATCGTTTTTCAGTACTTTAATTTATTTAAATCGATTTTTCACCGATTAAACTTTAGTAAAATTGAATTTGCTCTTTACCATTCTCATAAAAAAAAAAAACACGAAAATTCATATATTTAAAAATCTGATTATTGCTACCAGAACAGTTTTTAAGACTAAAAACCCTTATGGTAAATATATACCCCAGTTTGTAGTTTGAAGAAAGATAAAGAAAATTTGTAAAAGTCGTATAAAATCTTGTTTATTTCATAAAAAAGATCCCACAAATTGCTTTTATTTATTCGTATTAGCTTATTTATTATTCGCGGAGAATGGAGAAGTAGGTACTTAAAAATAAAGTAGTAATTCTTAAGATGATTTGCTCGACCTTTATTTATTTCATTTTCATTATCTCTTAATTATTTTCTCAGTAATAAATGAACGATCTAGAATGAGGAATAGCCGGTTTCCCTTTCAAAATCGTCGCTTCGAAAGCGAATCGCGAAATGGTGCGCAGTCGAACGGAAAAGAAGTCTCGTACTGACGCAAACGGGATCAGTACCTGCGTCATGGAAAACGACGAAAAGATTATTACGGAACTTGGTGGATTCTCTAAGAAATCATTTCGTTAACCATCATCACTACTAAGTACGAATTTTTTCTTTGCCTTTTTTGTCTTTTTTCGTAAAAGGTAAAACAGTTGACGAAATTCTAACATTGAATTTTAATGTAAATAAATTCGTAGAGTATTATCATTAGAGTGTAGGATTATTCGGTGTGGCATCTCGAATATAGGCGTATCTGTAACATGTACCTATGTACATAAATACACGCGATTACATGGAGGTATGTACATACATGGTCAAACTAGTGGAAAAGTAAAATGTGCTCGTTTTCAAGCCACGTTTTCGTTTCTCCATCCTCAGTCACGTAAGCACTGTCCGCACTCATTTATGCGTGGGAATTCGCATACTCGGGCAGCAGCAATGGCAGCAACCTTTGGATTATCGATTGCTTCTCTCGCCTCGCCTACTTACTCGAACGCTAGTTATCTTTTTCCGTCGCGAGCTGGATTTAATCTCGAAATCTCTTTCCGTTCGTGCTTGCCTTCGCGTTTTCTCCCGTCGTCGAAAAACTCTAAACTCTTTAAATGTAGAAACAATAATATCTACTTATACTCCTATAAAATAATTCTCTCTTTGAAGGTGCTAGTTTTCTTTTATTTCCTCTTTCTGTTCCCTAATTAAAATACTCCTAATATCTATGTACTATTGAGATTTATCGATGCGAATACACAGACGCATCGTGTTTCGCCTTCTATTCCTTGTAAGAAAAAAATGAAGAGAAAGATCGTTCAATGGTTACTCCTTACATTAATCTTCGACTACTACTTACGGCTGCACGCTGATTGCTATGAACGCGACGGGAATTTATGAAGGCTCCGGATACTTTACTACCGTTAAGGAATGGGAACGCGAAGGCAGTGAGTGCAAAAGTGTATGCTCGACGAATCTTTTACCTCGTAGTATTTCAACAAAAATTACTTTTTTGAACCCGCTTTTCTTTATTTTATTTTCGATTGGAAGAATTCATTCATATTCTTCTTCCTTAGAATATAAGTATTAAATACACGAGTCAAGGGTATTAAAAAAAACAAGATCTCTTACATTCCCTCATTCACGATAATTAAACGTACATTTTTGTTCATCTCCAGAGCCGCCAGGTAAGGAGGAAGAAAGTATACGAAAGGGCGACAACGAGCGCTTTGTAAAATTTCATTCATTCGTTTAAAAAGACTAACGAAATCAGATTATCCGAAGAACCACCCCACCTCTTCTCGTATGCGTAGTTTATTAGAACATTCGAAAAAATACAAGGGAGAAGAATTGATTTTTAATATTGACACTCTCATATGCATAAAAATACATATTTATCATTCGTATAGGGAATTTAGAGTCAGTTTTAAACGTCAAGGCTTTCAGAGTGGCGGTGGGATGCTTGGATTGCTACGCCACGCCACGCCACGCCACGCCACGCGCGCACTGATCTTATCTTCCAAATTTTCCATTATAGATCCCCTATGACGTCGTCAACAGGTTTTCGGAAATTTTATCGTATTCTATGTTGCGAATGATTCTAAAGTTACTTTTTCTAGTTTTCGAACACTAATAAAACTTGCTTTTCTCATTTTTTTTCATTTCTTTTTCATTTTTTTTTTAATAATAAAGCACGAAAAGACGCGTGTACGAAATATTAGCGTAGTCATTTCGAGCTGATAGTTGTTATCATCGGTCGACACGTTTTATAAATACGAGATGAGCGTACGTACGATAATAGAGTTAATTCTTTTTTAATAAGTTAGGATCGTTTCTAACAGACATGAAAATTCACCTCGTGTAACGTAAGACAACAACCTAATTTCATTTCTCTGATTTCGATCTCAAAAACAAACATCTCTTTCAGATTAAACGATTATTTTCTATTCACAGTCCGAACTATTGGAATATATGTATGTATGTGTTACCGTCGAAATCAGTCATTGCTATTATTCATCGACATTGTTATCAATGCAAAGCTCCTTCAAACGAAGGAATTGTAGCGGGGTATGGGATTGTTTGTTGAGGGGCGGAGGGGGGTTTGAGGCGGGCCTGTGCTCGAGAATGTATTCTTTTCGACGTTGTTTAAATAGTAATTTGATATTCTATAGGATATCAAAGTATTATGTTCGATGCCTAGGAAAAACTTTGTAAAAAGTCTTATTTGCGACTTCGTTTGAAGGCGCTTTGCATTGATAACAATGCCGAGGAATTACTAGCAATGACTGATTTCCGGCTTCGACGGTAACATGTGCATGTTGAAATATTAGATTTATTTAGTCAAAGGAGAGAGTGAATAGTATTGTTATGTGTGAGATAAGATTGTCTGGAAATTAAATAGGATTCCTTTGACGGGTACGGGTGTTTTTGATTGTCAGGCGACACCGCTTGAGACAATCGCCAGATATGTGGTCGTACCAAAACCCTTGGAATATTCTCGATCCGGAAGGAAGGAAGAGTCTAGAACTTTTATGATCTGGAATGATCGGGAAATTTCGATAAATGATGCGAGAAAAGAACAAATGATGATAAAGAAAATAATTAATATAATATATAGGCAACGAAAAGAGCCAGTGGCACGTTCGTTCGTTCGTTCGTTCATTCATTCATTCATTCATTCATTCATTCATTCGTTATGTTCTGACATTGTACTATGTCTACGATGAGTGTGTGTGTGCTTGTGGTTTATAATAAAGATAGAATAAATACAATAATATCCTCATTAATATTAACAGAATGTACATATGTAAAAAGAATTTCATTAGCGCGTGTCCGCGTGCTACGATCGAACTCACACTTTTACGCTCCCATAAAAACCCTTGACGTTTTCGCAGTAATCGATCTCTCTTAATGATTCTATAAATAATTGTCGATCCAGAAAGATCGACAATTTTCAAACGTTATGCGATCCTGATCGTAACTTTACTCTCTTAAATGAATAGAAGAGAAATTCTTTTTTCACGATGCTTTGTCGATAGAATTTGAAAGAAGAATTTTCGGCAAATTTGTAATATATTATATTATATACGTCAATACACTTACTTATTAACGCATGTATAATAGCTACGTAGGATGGAAAATTTCAATGATAAAATCGTACGTGTCACGATAAGGGGTCGCCATGGCACATCTTTATGCTGTCTTTTTTTATGAATTCTTTTCCAATTTTTTCATTTTTTCATGTTTTCATTAGATTTTTCTTTCTGTTGTTCTACGGAAGAATAAAAAAA